CAAGATTACCAGTTATTTGCCTACCTTGCTGGCTTCTTTTATATCCCCTCCCTTACCAGTCCCCTCCAGAGCAAGCTTAGTATAATGCTGGGCATATAATATGTACTTTAAAAAATAGAATCATAGGGGGGGAAAAGCCCATAGGATTTTAAAACTAGGATACATGTTCAGGGTGCCTGGCTGGCTCAGCTGGTGAACTGTGCAACTCTTGATCTTGGGGTTGTGAGTTTGAGCCCCATGTTGGATGCAGAGATTACTTTAAAAATGAATAAATAAATATATTCTGTGCTATAACATAGTGTATATTTAGAAAGAAGGACAGAAAGAGAAAGAAAAGAAAGAAAGAAAAGAAAAGAGAAAAGATGTTAGAAATTATCTAGTGACTTCTGAAGCCTTCTAGCCAGTTGGATCCAGGTCTCATTCTCAATCTAGTCTTTTTTTGATGTGCTGCACATAGATAGTTGTCCACAGTTTTATATAATCCTATACCAATATTCTCAAAACTTGCTCCTGAAGAACAGATATTCAATGGATTAGGTGTTGATTATTCCTGTGATTCTGATCTGAATGATGAAAATGCAAAAGGTAGTAGAGAGCAAGCTAGAATCTGAGGGAAAAAGCTCTTTGACAAACTGAGTCCTTTTCTTAAAACCAGAGTATATATAAAAATTGTCCAAACAATCCCTGAGTGTCTGGCAGAGTGTGTCTTGCAATTAAAAATGCTAAAGGAAATTTTGTGAAATATTAACTCACAAGGCCTAAAATTTCTGGCTACGCCATTGACTCAGAGACATGTACATAAAGTACCAAATGCATTCTAGAAAGACACTCACACAAGCATGTATGGCATTTAAAATCAAGTCAAGAACACTGACTACACAGAAAATTGAAACTAAAATACCATCTACATTACATTACATTCATTAGTAATGAAATTTTGGTATTTAATATAGTACAGATTTAATTCCCAAATCTCCAAATTTTGCAAGAGGTCCCTTTTCCAGCAAGCTTTCTCTTCCCCTCCCCAAATGTTCTCCACCCATACCTCATCTTTCTTTACATTCCTTAAAGGGCTTGGACTACAATATACGCTCAATAAATACTTCTAACGGTCCTTCATTTTAAATTATCCAGATGTTTTAGGCAAAGGTAATTTCTAAATATCACCATCTATTCTTAGAGATACATGATCAGCAAATACATGGTATAAAAGATACACTCTCTCTGAGCCACACAGACACACCCAAATACCCTTTGTCTAGACCCTCTGTGGGAATCCAAGGCCTGCCCAACAGGGCCTTGCTGTGTCATGCTGCCACCTTGGGGGTGGGGTGGGGAGGAGGACAAGGGATGGTGGTTGGAGGGGATGGAAGCTCTCTGGCATCTCCTTATATTTGCCTCATTCTGGACTTGGATTTTCCTGTTAGCCATGCCCTCCCCCCATCTATTCCCACTGAGCTGCAAATAAGCATTCCTTTTCCAGAATCTGCCACCATATGTAGCTTTTGTGCGCTGTACTGATTTCAATGTGGGATCAGGCAATTCTCCAACATAGAGGCCTCCACCTTCCTACTTCAAGCCGCCTCTCTTTGGAGCAAAGGTTTGAGAGAGGGAGTGGGAGACTGTTAAAAGAGAGGTCAGGATTACTTTCAATATTATCTCATCCCTTCCCCCAAATTCCCTCCTATGGAGACAAATCAGTTTGGGGTGAAGGTAGACACATCAGTGGAACGCTACAGAAAAAAAAAGTAAATATAGGGAAGTACAGGCTGGAGCAATACAGGAAGACTAGAGAGTCATCAAAAAACAGGTAAAACAAATTATAGCTTGAAAAAGAAGATACAGATAACGACTGAAGATAATAAAATACATAAGACAAAATATAGAAAAATAGATACTTGAAATGAGATAAATGCGGAGAAATGATAGCTCCATGTAAATTGTTAGAAATTAATGTCTGTGGATTAGAAGGCAAGGATGGAGATCTTAGCAAAGAGATATAACAAGAGGACCAAAAAACTACTCATTGTTCATAGCGCCCCCTTCTCTCCTCTTAAGCCGTCCCCCAACCTTATCCTTATTTAGGGTCTTCAACCTAATCAGAAGCAGCTGCTCTTCTATCTTTGCAGCCCCTTGCCCCGCTTCCCTCAATTCAGTTTACCTGTTATCAGTGAATTACTGGTGTGTTCCAAAGATGGAAGGAGTATCTCGGGGGCTCCGGCGTCTGCTCTGGGCTGGAGAAAAAGCTGTTGGGGCTTTGACGGCTTTGTCTTCTCACTCCCTCTCCCTCTTCTGTGGCTGAGTCTATCTGCTCAGTCTCCCCCTGCAATGCAGCCCCTCCTAAGAAGGGCGGAAGGACTCCCCGCCCCCTCCTTGCCTGACTCGGCTAATTCAAATGATAGGTTCCAGAACACTTTAGGGAGGGAGACAGGATTAAAGCATCTCCGTAGGCTTATTGGTCGGCACAATTATTCCCGAGCTCTTACAGCACCCCCATGCTGACTGGGGTGCAATGAATGAGCAGTTAATTGTCCCTTAATTTTAGGCTTATGGATTAAAAAGCTTAGCTCTAGATAACAATAGAGGAGTGTCCCTTTATTCCCCAATTTATGGATTTCAAGTCACGAAGTATTTTATTTTTGAGAATCAGAAAAATCCTCCACCCCTCCCTGCAATCCCTACTCCTGCGACTCGCCTCCGCACCCTCACAATGAGTAAATAAACCTAGCCCCATTCCACTCTGGGTAGAGCACAAGAGGACTGGGGGTTGTGTGTGTGCGTATGGGGGCGGGGGGTGACTGCGAATCTCTAAACTCGGCTGGGTCCGGGGGATTTGGGGGCTCCGCTTAGTTTTGCCCCGCAATGCCTGGCGCGCAAAGGGGACGTGCGACTGCGGGCAGCGCAGCTTGGGGGCCCGGCTCAGGAGAGCCCCTCGTGGGCTCCACGATCCCGGCTCGCGCAGCCCGGGCGGCGGCCGTCGGGGGCTGCCAGGCGCCCTCCCACGGCCCCGCGTGGTGCAGTGCCTCACCAGTCCAGGGGGGAGCAGTGCGCCCAGCTCCGGGCCGGACGGGTTTCGTAATCGCGTCGCCGCCGTTTCCGCCCTAAGCCAGCCCCACCTCTGCCGGCCCGCCCTCGGCTCCCCTGCCGCGCCGCGCCGCGGAGCCAGCCCGGGAAGGCCACACTGGCGGGCCCGGAGCGGGAGCCCCCCCGCGCAGCCGCAGCCGCACCCGCTGCAGCCGTACGCCTCGATGCCGGAGCACGGCAGGTGAGACCGCCGCGTGGGTCCCCGGCCCGCGCGCCCCGCCTGCCCTGCCGGGCGGAGACGCACCGGATGCTGGGGGGTGGAGGGAGGCCAGGGCTGCCGAGATGCTGGGTCGGTGGGAGAAGGGGTGCGCTCCCTGAGTAACAGTCTCCATCCGCTCCGCCGCTCGTGTGGCGCGCAGGCCGAGGCCGCCGTAGAGTAGAGGGCAGAAAGGGCCTGGGGGGCCGGGGCGGGGGGAGGCGAGAGGGGGAGAAGTTCTTCTGGAGACTCACTAACCTCGGTGGTGGCGTGTGCGGGACTGAGTGTAGCACAGCGGGGCCCTGGAAGGGCTAAGTCTGAGCCCGAAGCAGTCGCGGAAGACAGTGACAGAGTCCGAAAGATTCCCAGGGCGATCCCAGTCCTAGTTCAGGGTTGGGAGGAGCAGAGGATTTCTGGGTAGAGTTGGGGAGCGGGCAGGCATGGAGTCTCTGGGACTGAATCCACTGGGGAGGGAGCTTAGGGCCTAGCCCTGTTTCCTCGTAAGCCCCCACAAGACCTTTCCTGGGGGAAGAACACAGTTGGTACTGGGTCAGATGCCTGTCACTTGACTGGAAAGTGCGTGTCCCCCTACGTCTCTGCTGCCCCTCAGCAGCCCTCCATGTCTGGAGGTCTCCACAAGGAACCAGCTGCAGCCCCGGGCTTGGAGCCAGAATTGCCCACTCTATTCTCTCAATTCTCTTTCTCTTTCTCTTTCTCTTTCTCCAGCTGCTTCTTGTGAAGGCTTGTCGGGCAGCGGGTTGGAGGCCTTGGGGCTGAAGGCAGCGGGACCGGGAAAACCGGTTTCAGGCTAGGACAGGACCCGGGAACTACCTCTGTACATCCTCTCTGGAACCTTTCTGCCATCCCTCCTCCTGCTCACTCACTATAGTTTGGAAGCTCCTAAGCCCCAGTGTGACCTTGGTGTCTCCTAGCTCCATGTTTCACCCTTCCTATCTGGGACTCTGGCCCAGTTCTCAGTGCTACTTGTCTGTCAGGATATGGCCTTACACAGTCTAATGCTGATTCCTCCTGCCGTTTTCCCAGCCCCTTCCCCTCCGCTGGGGGTGGAGGGCTGGGGGCACGGCACACTAAAATAGTGGACAATGAATTTGGATGCCTCTTCCTCCTGGGCTAAGCAGCCCAGGACTTCATTTTTCCTCAGCCCACTCTTCTCTAGATATTTTAAAGAAGGAGAGTGGCAGCCGGTTGCTCTTACTTCCTTTTCTGGCCCTGGCCCCCCACCCCCACCCCACTGCCACATTCACCCTGCCCAGTCTTCTCCACACTCTTGACCCCACTGCCAAGTTTCAGAGACCCTTATGTTCTATGTCCTAGGGAATGGAATTTCCTGGTCACTTCTCATCATCATTGGCCCTTTCGTGCCAAGTCCCACATACGCTTTCCCTCCACCCAGCTCTGGCCAGGTCCCTGGAAAGGGAACAGAAACGTCCTTGTTCCCTCCACTGCCCCTTTCCCTCCCTCTCTTCTCCCCTCTTCTCTCCTCTCCCCTCCCACCCTCCACTTCTGTCCACTCAGCTTTGTTCAGAAGGGGTGTTGGGGGAGAGTCCACGCTCTGTACAGTCTGTCTGGTGGTGTTGGGGGTTTCCTCTGATTCTTCATTGTTTTCTTCATTCCCCCGCCTGTAACCCTTACCAGTCGCCACCACCACCATTGCGACAAACCGTGTGACTGACTGACTTCCCCACTGACCACAGCTCCCCTCTCTGGACAGCTGTGTTCTGACTTCCGCCCTGTCCCATTACTCCTCCCCTCCAGTGGTGGGAGGGGAAGTAAGCAAAAGCCCAGGCTCCTGGGTCCTTCTCTCCCCTTCAAGCTGTATCTCAGTGTGCCTGTGACCTCATCCCAGGGCTATTAAAAAAAAAAAAAAATCCTTTCAGTTCTTAGATCAGTTTAGAGTGCCAGAGCATCGGGGCTCCAGGCCCGGAAGGGAGAGAGATTCCAGTTCATGCTAGAGTGTAATAGTCGTGAAACGGCCCTGTTTGGCGTCTTTGAGGTTGCCTGTATCATAGGACTGGGGACGTGCAGTGAGCACAGAGGAAACCCAGATGGGCCCTACCCTGGCTGGCAGGGAGGAAAAGGGGAGGAAGTTCTTCCTTGGACACTAACGCTGTTGCAGAGTTCCTTGTGTCTGGTTGGCTGATGAAGCTTGGGAATGGAAGTGGTGAGGAGGGAGGAGAGAACAGGTCCCAGCATGATGGGAGGAGGCAGGTGGGGAGGCCTGGGCCCTACGGGGTGTGAGGCAGAGCAGAGTGGCACGATGGGACATGTGAGGAGGGTGGGGAGGCCGGAGAAGGATTCCTCGGGGAACGTATGGCACCTGGTACACGCACAGATGCGGCCATGCCACGGGAGTGCACACATGGGACACAGATAAACAGACTGGAGACAGCCTTCAGGAAGGCTCTCAAAGCTTCTGAGAGAGGTTGGATCTCAGCTGAGGGAAATGAGGAGGAGCAAGGGCAGGGAATAGAGAGGGAAGAAATTCCTCCCTGTAGGAAAAGTCTTACTTGAGGTCCAACCTGCTGCAGTTAGTCACTTGCAACCTGAGCAGACAGGTCTCTGTCTTAAAGAAAATCTAGATGTTCTGGGTGCCTGGGTGGCTCAGTTGGTTAAGCCACTGCCTTCGGCTCAGGTCATGATCCTGGAGTCCCGGGATCGAGTCCCGCATTGGGCTCCCTGCTCGGCGGGGAGTCTGCTTCTCCCTCTGACCCTCCCCCTTCTCATGCTCTCTCTCTCTATCTCATTCTCTCTCTCAAATAAATAAATAAAATCTTTAAAAAAAAAAATCTAGATGTTCAGGGTAAGGTAAGGAAAAAGGGAGGGACAAGGGCGGAGGCCCTGTTTGTGAGAACGAAAAACCACCATTTCCTCTTCAGAGTCACTGAACTGCCCCTCCCTCTCTGCCCTAAACCCAGGGAGATGGGAGGTGGGGCTTGCTCATTTTTGCCACCATCCTTCGGCCCCTCCCATCCTCACCCTAAATGCTTCTGTCCCCTTCCTCTCCCTTGGTTCCAGCAGCTACTGCTCCTCTACCCCTTGTGCGCTTCTGGATCTTTTCCTTTCTCTGGGAGTCAAACTGTGAGGTCCTTATGCTTGGAGGGGTTAGTGTTGGGTGCAGGACTCAGGACTTTGAGGGAGAACGAGAAGACCTGGGCTCATCAGGAGGCTTCTCAAGGAGGGAGCGGTGGTAGAGTGGGATTTCGCACTAACTTCCTTCTGTCTTTACTTTCTGCTCAACCAGAGTTCTGCGTCTGAGGAAGACATAACCTCGTGCCCGCCTGCGCACCCTCACCGGCCCTGCTAGCCCCTCAGGGTCCGAGACGCTGACCCTCCCCGCCCAGCCAAGGGTACCTTGGACTCTGCTGTCCCCAGACCTGTGCAGCTGAGCAGACCCAGGCGGCCATTACACCTGAGGGGACTGAGGAGTGGGCAGTCAAGGCACCAGAGCAAGAGCCCTCTGGGGCCTCAGGCAGAGGAGTGAAACTGGAACCATCAGGGAACATGAGTGAATTTTGGCACAAACTGGGTTGCTGCGTGGTAGAGAAACCCCAGCCGGTGAGTCCCCAGGCCCAACCCCCACCCCGGCACTCACAGAAGTCAGTTACCGGGGCCTGTGTGGCAGACACACCACCCACGATCTGGTGCCTAGAAAGCAAGCTGCTTGCTTCCCTCTCCGTCAGGATAGTCTCTCTGGCCAGGCAGGTGTGTATGTGGAATCCAGGGGGACTGGGTGACGGAGGAAGTGAATCGTCCTAGCTATCACTTCCTGTTTCTGTCCATTCTGAGCTGGGCAGGGGTTGTAGGTGGCGCTTAATGCCGGTCACTTTTCCCCATTGTTTCCTCATCAGCCAGAGGTGACTTGGATATGTCCTTTCTTTGTCTAGTATTCACTCTGCAGGCCCCTGCCCTCACCACCCTCCCTGTGTCCTTTCTGTGTTTATGTTGTTCCAGACTTGCCTTTCAGACCCTAGTGACTTCCCTGTTGTAATGCCACATACCTTTGCCCATTGGGCCGTTAGCTCTTCCCCTAGTGGTTTTCAAGACTCTATTCCCTTCTTCCACTTTCAGACCTAACTCCCCTGTCTTCTCTAAGCAGAAAAAGAAGAGGAGACGAATTGACCGGACCATGATTGGGGAACCAATGAATTTTGTCCACCTGACTCACATTGGCTCTGGGGAGATGGGGGCCGGAGATGGACTTGCCATGGTAACAAGAGAATGGGGAGAGATTGATATGGGATTGTGACCTAGAACCTTTCCCCTTTTTTTGAAGTGTAAGCTGGGGACATGGTAAATACTTGGTGGGGAAGTAATCCTGGAACTAGGATTCTAGTCCTGGTCACCAGCTGCATAAACCTGAGACCTGGCA